AGGGCAGTGGGATTGTACCTGCAGGGTAAAAAATCTTCAGAGCACTGCAAAGTACTTCTTTAACATGCAAGGTCAGCCGATCTAGAATGATCAATAGTCAATATACAGAAGTCATCAGGTAGAGGTAGGGTTGCCACCTCATCCATTTAAACCCGAACACATATTAATTACACAGGTTCTGAGGATAATTTAATGCAAATAAGGTACTAGGTGTGTTTAATTACCACCTTAACCACTTCCCTTCTGGCCTATGTAGATAAACAGCTGGACAAGAGCGCTGCCGAAGCAGGTTGACGTTTCATTCATTGCCTATGCATGCTCCCTGGGAGCGCGCAGCACCGCGATCAGTGCCCGCTGTGTCCAGAGGACACAGTGGAACACCGATCGCTGTACGGGACCTCTGTGTGAGGTCCCGATTCATGTGATCACTGATTGGCCAATTGGTGAGCACATGAACAGCAGTAAACAAGATGTCGCTTCCTGACATCATATTTTACTGCTTGTAAAATCTGTGAATGATCACAGAGGTCACATGGTACAAGGATATTCACAACAGCCTTGTAACATGTGACAAGCTGTGATCAATCACAGCTCTCACAGTATTTCTCAATGGCTGCAAGAATGCAGCCCAGAGAGAAGGAGAAATTATTGCTTTTACAGCCTTTATGGGTGTAAAAGCAATCAGTGTAAAAATAGGAAAACACTATGGTGACACTGCTAGGGTGACAGTATGCTAAAAAAAAAAAAAAACCCATAAATAATAATATTAAAAAAAGTTTAAAAAAAAATTTCAAAAATTATAATTTTTGGTTATAAACTAATTTGTTTTTGTTTGTTTTTTTACTAAAAAGAGAGCTGAATATATTTTGGCCTAGATTTATAAAGACAGATTATTTATTTGCAAAATTTTATAAGAAAAACACTTTTATTTCAATATTTTTTGGACTTTTTCATTTAAATAGCAAAAAAAATAAAAATCCCAGTGGTGAATAAATACCACCAAATAAAGTTTTATCTGTCTCACAAAATGCTAAGAAAATTCATATGGGTACAGTGCTGCATGACTGCACAATTGTCATTTAGAGTGTGATAGCACTGAAAGCTGAAAATTGGCCTGGACTGGAAGGGGGTGAAAGTGTCCGGACTTGAAGTGGTTAATAAGCGACAGAACCTGTACAATAAATACGTGTTGGGGTTTAAAGGGATGGGGTGGCAACCTTAGGTAGAGGTTAGTGGCAAAGGCAAACACTGTCAGTGGAAAAAAAAAAGCCAGCAATTTAAAACTCAACTTGGTCGATCGATGTTCCCTATGAGAGATCTTGGTTCATTGGTGTCAGTCTGCAACAATCGACATGGGATTGTCAGCTGATACAGTTGGAAACAGCCAGACATGAGATGTCATAGAAGGTATAGTTGGCTGTCTGATGAAATTTGGAGAGGCCTTATAATGATTTTGCTGTGTAGTCCAATGTTTTACAGTAGCATGCCAGATGAATAGAGCTGAAGTCTTTGTGTTTTACAAGGAAATCAAACTGTGTGTGTTTAATGATGGGAGACTTGGAACATTGTGTGTTTGTCTGTGAAAGGCAGTGAAGCAGAACCTTCACATGTATATACAAGGACTACTCAAAGGTCACCTGTGCTTACACCTACTAAGCATGAAACGTAAGGTGTTGTGTTAAAGGACATCATGTGGAAATGGCTAATTATTGAGCAGAATTGATCATAATTTGGTTTGTGTTCATGTTGCTTACATTTGACCAGTGTAGGTGTGCTAAAACCTCCACATTTGGGAAAAAGTTGATATCCTGCTAGAATGTATACTTACTGACATTAGATGGCAGCTAACCAAAATATAATCTTTTTTTTGTTTTTTTTTAAAGAAAAGATCATGGTACAATATTAAAAAAATGTATAATGCAAATGTGTTTGGTTGTGCCTACAGTGAGGGGAATTGGAGCACTGTGCAGGCAGGGGCGGACTGACCATTTGAAAGCTCGGGCACTGCCCGAGGGCCTGGGGTCAGTAGGGGGCCCCATGAGATGCCACTGGTACCTTTTACATAGGCTTTTTTGAGTTTGGGCAAGGACACAGGGGCCCCATGATCCCCTATTGCCCGGGGGCCCCATGAGTTGTCAGTCCGCCTCTGTGTGCAGGTATCCCTAGTGGTAGTCTTTCTTAGAGGAAAGCAGGACTGGGAAAATCCAATCCATCTATTCATTCATTCACCTGTCTGTTCGTCCATCCATCCATCATTCTGTCTATGCATCTTCCATCCATCCATCTATCCATCCAATATACTCTCTCTCCAAGAAGGTGCAGACACTATGTTTGCCACAGTCAATGAGGGTCTATAGAAACAAATATTTCCCAACCTGACCGTAAACAGCCAGGTCAGGTCAATGTCCTTTTGCTTGTAGGCACTTTAAAGGGCATGTCAAGGCAAAGTAATTAAAAAAAAATAAATAAAATTCATACATGTCTGCAATACATGCATATTTCCCATGCTTTATCCCTTAAAACACATTCAAGTACAGAAAAATAACTGTTGATGTACCAGAATTATAGTGTGCTCCTACCTTTTTTGACATATTTTGGTTTTGAATTTCAAAGCATACTGTATGTTACCAGCTATGCGTCCTTCATTTCTGAAGCATTGCAAAGAACACAGACCTCCCCTCATCCATCCCCCCCATCCTTCTCATCTACTCTATAACCCCTCCTTGCACGGAGCTTTTCAGCTCACAACATATCTGGCATAATCAACAGGTATTTTCTGCATTTTTCAAATAGATATAAGAAAACAAAATGTAAATAGTATATTTAGCAGGCCAGAAGGAAGCAAATAAGAGAAGTACATTGTTAAGGTTTACATACACTTTAAGGGTAGCTGTCAGCACAGAGCCCATGCTGTATCAGCAAGCCATTTCTTTAAATTAATAAAAAATAGTGGATATGGATGTACAATATCTTGGTTGATATATAATGCGATTAGTACAAACCAGATACTAAAACTAATGCAGCAGTCTCAAAAATGTGCAATACTACCACAATATGAAAAAATATATATATGTGCGGGCAGCACAGTAGCTAAGTGGTTAGCACTTCCGCCTGGGAGCACTAGAGTCATTGGTTCAAATCCCAACCACAACACCACCTGCCTGGAGCTTGCATGCTCTCCCTGTTCCTGCGTGGGTTTCCTCCGGGTACTCTGGCTTCCTCCCATACTCCAAAAACATGCTGGTAGGTTAATTGGCTCCTGTCTAAATTGTCCCTAGTATGCGTATGTATGAATGTGAGTTAGGGACCTTAGACTGTACACCCCTTGAGGGTTAGGGACTGATGTGAATGTATAATATATATGTAAAGTGCTGAATAAATTGACAGCGCTATATAAGTACCTGAAATAAATAAATAAATATGTATTTAGATCGTGCACCTAAATTATACATATCATATGTGCATATCCTCTATGTATTCTCAAAAAATTCAAAACATAATTCTTACATCTATAAATCAAACAGAACACCATCACAGTATTCATTAAAGTCCCAAAGTCATTTATTAAGGTCCCAAATTGTGGAATAAGTGCCTGTGCTTGTGTTCCAGCTTGATTATGATGCTATGCTTATTGAGCTAATTTAACCACCTCCCTTCCGGCCATTGTATATAAACGGCCGGACGGTGGCAGTGCAGGGTCGGGTGGCCATTTATAAATGGCCTCCCCGCCCCCTGCTTGTGCGTGCTCCCTGGGAGCGTGCAGCACCGCAATCTGGTGCCCGCTGTGTCCTCCAGACGGGACCTCTGTGCGATGTCCCCGATCATATGATCACTGATTGGCCAATCAGTGATCACATGCAGAGTAGTAAGCAAGATGTCACTTCTGACATCATTGCTTACTACGTGTGAAATCTGTGAATGATCATGCAGGTCACATGGTACAAGGCTATTCACAACAGCCTTTTACCATGTGACAAGCTGTGACCAATCACAGCTCACACAGTAGTTCTCAATGGCTGCAAGAATGCAGCCAGAGAGGAGAAATGATTGCTTTTACAGCCTTTATGGGTGTAAAAGCAATCAGTGTAAAAAAAAAAATCTTCATCACCCCCCCAAGTAGTACAGTGTTACCATGGTGACTCTGTACTGCTAGGGTGACAGTATGTGAAAAAAAAAACATAAATAATAATATAAAAAAATAAAATAAAAATGTAAAAAAAAATGTTATAAAAATGTTATTAAAAAATTATCATTTTTGGTTATAAACTAATTTGGGTTATTTTTATTTTTTTACTAAAAAGATAACTGAATACATTTTGGCCAAGATTTATGATGAAATATTATTTATTTGCAAAATTTTATAAAAACACTTTTTTCAAAATTTTTGGACTTTTTCATTTACATAGCAAAAACCATTTAAAACAATCAATTTGCACTGTCAGTGTGAGGAGAGGACTGCCGATAAGCAGCATTGCCTTGTTTACATGCGATCAGCTGTGATTGGACACAGCTGATCGCATGACAGAGCATGTGTCATCAGCTCTTTACTGTGATCGGTGATCCACTGTGTCCCAGGGACACAGCGCACCACCGATCACCATGCTCCCCCGGGGGTGCGCATGTGCAGTTAGAGTGGGAGGACATCATATGACGTCCTCCCAAAATGAGAAAGCCGCCGCCCTCCCATCAGTTCCCTATATGGCGAGCGGCAAGCGGTTACATTTGCTAAATAAGCGAAGCACCATAATCAAGCTGGAACACAAGCACAGGCACTTATTTCACAATTTGGGACTTTAACCGCCTCCTGCCCACCATATAAGGAAATGATGGGAGCAAGGTGGTTCTCTCGTTCTGAGAGGACGTCATATGACGTCCTCCCACCCTAGCCGCACATGCGCGCCCCTGGGCTATTGAGAGTAGCGATCGGTTGTGTGCTGTGTCCCTGGGACACAGCGGATCACTGATCAACGGAAAGAGCCAAAGATGTCAGCTCTGTCATGTGATCAGCTGTGTCCAATCACAGCTGACCGCATGTAAATAAGGAAATGCCGGTTATCGGAATTTCTCTCCTCACGAGCTGTCATGCTGAGGGGACATGTGCACTGATCATCAGGGAACTGATGATCAGCGTGCCCTGATGATCAGTGTAGCCCCAGCAGTGCCACCTGTCAGTGTCCATCAATGCCTCCTGTCATTGCCAATAAGTGCCACCTGCCAGTGCCCATCAGAGCCACATCAATGCCACATATCAGTGCCTACCAGTGCACATCAATGCTACATATCAGTACCCATCTGAGCTGCCTTTCAGTGTCACCTATCAATGCCAGTCAGTGGCACCTATCAGTGCTACCAATCAGTGCCGCCTATCAGTGCGCATCAGTGCCACCTATCAGTGCCGTCTATCAGTGCTGCCTAACAGTGCCAGTCAGTGTCGCCTATCAGTGCCAGTAAGTGCCGCCTATCAGTGATGCCTGTCAATGCCCATCAGTGCCACCTACCAGTGCCTCCTCATCAGTGCTCATCAGTGCCACCTATCAGTGCCCATCAGTGCAGCCTATCAGTCCCCATCGCTGCAGCCTCATTAGTGCACATCAGTGAAGGAGAAAAATCACTTATTTACAAAATTTTATAATAGAAACTAAGAAAAAAAACTTTTTTTTTTTCAAAATGTTCAGTTGTTTTTGGTTTGTTTAGCAAAAAACAAAAAAACCCAATGGTGATTAAATACCACCAAAATAAAGCTCTATCTGTCTCAAAAAAATGATACAAATTTCATATGGGTACAGTGTTGCATGACCGCGCAATTGTCATTCAAAGTGTGACAGCACTGAAAGCTGAAAATTGGCCTGGGCAGGAAGGGGGTATAAGTGCCCTGTAGGCAAGTGGTTAATTAATGGCAATTATGCTGTGAATACTGTGATGATGTCATGTTTGATTTATAGATGTAAGAATTATGATTTGAATTTTTTGAGAATACATGAGAATATGCACATATGATATGATAATCTAGATGCGCGGTATATATATAGATGTATATATATATATCTATGTATATATATATATATATATATATATACATTTCTTTAAGCACTTGCCTACTGGGCACTTTTAGCTCCTTCCTGCCCAGGCCAATTTTCAGCTTTCATTTCTAATTAGGATTTTTTTCATCCTACAGTGCTTCCTTCTTTAATGGTTTAGATCTAATCAGACTCAGATTAAAGCAAGTCAGACACTTGTAAAATGTCAGACAGACATGCCTAAAGTGAGACGTGTATGTTTGCTGTCTGTATACAATAGGGGACCCCCTTTTCCCACCAGCTGCTTCCTAAACTTCCTTCCCACTGGTCTGAGCAGGAATACAGATGAAGGAGCTAGACACTTCTCTCCATCCCCCACCACACTCAAGGGGATATACTGATATATACACACACGTACACACACATCTATAATTACTGATATTTATGAGTGCTGATCATTTGCACAAGCCTTCTGAGATTATTAAGCTGAGGTTTGCATAATGACACTGGTCTGAGGTGGTCTTGTTGCGTGCAAAATCAAAACCGACAAAGAACAGAAAGGCCTTGCATTACGCATAGTATATAAAGACAGCTGTCATGGGATAGCCTTGTCAGCATCACTGCCATCTCTTTTTTACATTCAAATGAAAGCTATGATATCATCACATTCCTTTATTTACTGTGTACCAAATAACATCCTCAGCATTATGCACCACTACGCATCACAATCTGATGTCCATGCAATACTGGGAGCACTCCATTCAGAAAGTCATGTATGTACAGCAGACTATTGTAAAAAATTCCCTGCAATAAGATTTTGGGGCGTTTAGGATGTATGGGGACATTTATTTATTTTTTTATTTAGTTATACAGTGGGGATCGAAAGTTTGGGCACCCCAGCTAAAAATTTGTATTAATGTGCATAAAGAAGCCAAGGAAAGATGGAAAAATCTCCAAAAGGCATCAGATTACAGATTAGACATTCTTATAATATGTCAACAAAAGTTAGATTTTATTTCCATCATTTACACTTTCAAAATAACAGAAAACAAAAAAATGGCGTCTGCAAAAGTTTGGGCACCCTGCAGAGTTAATATCTTGTACTGCCCCCTTTGGCAAGTATCACAGCTTGTAAACGCTTTTTGTAGCCAGCCAAGAGTCTTTCAATTCTTGTTTGAGGTATCTTTGCCCATTCTTCCTTACAAAAGTCTTCCAGTTCTTTGAGATTTCTGGGCTGTCTGTCACGCACTGCTCTTTTAAGGTCTGTCCATCGATTTTCAATTATGTTGAGGTCAGGAGATAGTGAAGGCCATGGCAAAACCTTCAGTTTACGCCTCTTGATGTAATCCCCGTGGATTTCGAGGTGTGTTTAGGATCATTATCCATTTGTAGAAGCCATCCTCTCTTTAACTTCAGCTTTTTCACAGATGGCATCAAGTTACCATTCAAAATTTGCTGAGATTTTATTGAATCCATTTTTCCTTCTACTCGTGAGATGTTCCCTGTGCCACTGGCTGCAACACAACCCCAAAGCATGATTGATCCAACCCCATGCTTAACAGTTGGACAGAGGTTCTTTTCATTAAATTCTGTGCCCCTTCTTCTCCAAACGTACCTTTGCTCATTCCAGCCAAAAAGTTCAATTTTAACCTCATCGGTCCACAGAACTTGTTTCCAAAATGCATCAGGCTTGTCTATATATTCATTTGCAAAGTTCAAACGATGATTTTTGTGGTGAGGACGTAGAAGAGGTTTTCTTCTGATGACTCTTCCATGAAGACCATATTTGTACAAGTATCTCTTTATAGTGGAATAGTGTACCACAACTCCAGTGTCTGCCAGATCTTTCTGGAAGGATCGTGCAGTCAAACGTGGGTTTTGAATTGTTTTTCTCACAATCCTGCGAGCTGTTCTGTCTGATATTTTTCTTGGTCTTCCAGATCTTGCTTTAACTTCCACTGTTCCTGATGACTGCCATTTCTTAATTACATTCCGAACAGAGGATACTGACATCTGAAAACGCTTTGCTATCTTCTTATAGCCTTCTCCAGCTTTGTGAGCGTCAACTATTTTCAGTTTCAGTTTTCTAGACAACTGCTTAGAAGAACCCATGGTGCTGATTGTTGGGGCAAGGTCAGATGAGTCTGGGCATTTAAAACCTTTGAAATTGACATAACCTGGTCTTCCCAGACAATGATTGAGAACAATCCATGACACTGACAGGTTTCAGCTTGGCAAAGGGGGCAGTGCATGCTATAAATTCTGCAGGGTGCCCAAACTTTTGCAGACGCCATTTTTTTGTTTTCTGCTATTTTGAAAGTGTAAATGATGGAAATAAAATCTAACTTTTGTTGACATATTATAAGAATGTCTAATCTGTAATTTGATGCCTTTTGGAGATTTTTCCATCTTTCCTTGGCTTCTTTATGCACATTAATACAAATTTTTAGCTGGGGTGCCCAAACTTTCGATCCCCACTGTACATTTATATTAAGGACGTTCATGCTGCTTTTACCAAATTGAAACTTAGGCCCAGGGGTGGACTGACCATTTGGAAACTCGGGCACTGCCCGAGGGCCCTGGGTCAGTAGGGGGCCCCATGAGATGCCCCTGGTACCTTTTTCATAGGCTTTTTTGAGTTTGGGCAAGGACACAGGGGCCCCATGATCCCCTATTGCCCGGGGGCCTCATGAGTTGTCAGTCCGCCCCTGCATAGGCCCCTTGCACTTGGGAACTTCAGGCTGTAGTGTATCCCTTAGTACGCCCAGGAAGGTCAGGTGCAGACTCCAGCCCCACTGCAGGCAGCCTGGCAAATGTCTATGGATGGCTGTAGCTGGACAAGGCTGAACTCTGTATTTAGTGGTACCAGATTTTAGGGCACACAACTCATTGGACCAAGGATGACAGCTGGCTTCTGGGTCTAGACCCAAAACTTCTCAGCAAACACAAACTCATTCCTATATTTTTGCAACTTTTTAAAAAATTTTGGGCATAGATGCTTTTAAAGTGGCAGAGTCAGTAGCTTCCAACACTGGAGGAGGTAGACAAGACGCCAATAAGCCCTCCGGGACATAAAAATATTATGTGCTGGACTCAGGGGCGGACTGACAACTCATGGGGCCCCTGGGCAATAGGGGATCATGGGGCCCCTGTGTCCTTGCCCACACCCAAAAAAGCCTATGAAACAGTCAATGAAAGGTACCAGGGGCATCTCATGGGGCTCCCTACTGACCCCGGGCCCTCGGGCAGTGCCCGAGTGCTCAAATAGTCAGTCCGCCCCTGGCTGGACTGGTGGCCCTAAGTGGAGTTACTAGCCCAACAAGACTTTAGTTGGAGCAGGACCTGCAACTGGTAACAGCTGCTAGGTGTTATATATCTATCTGCTTCACGATTACAGTGCCCAGCAGAGGAAAGTCTTTCAGCATCAACTTATTTAGCAACTCTGAGATGTTATGTAACCAAATGCAGAGCGCTGCAAAGGAAGTCAATACTGTAAAAGTGCAAAACTGTGAACTCTTTTGAGCTCATCTTGTAAATTTGTTAAACATAAGGACTTTTCGTGATGGCGTAATGTTTAACCTAAAAACAATCTTGCGAGCAACAATCAATTCAATAAAACCAAAATGAATTCAATAGAGAAGCAGCCCACACAAACACACACCCATGTCAATGTGCCATACCATCAAAATAAATAATAGTGCCGAGCTTCTTAAACATCAACAAAAAACAAATAATATGTGAAAAACACAAAAAATAAAACAGTGTTTTATTTCAAAAAGTCCTTTCAGTTGTTTTTGAAATCACAAATGTAATTTCTTCTTTTATATTATAACATCAACTTCCCAAACCAATATTCGTGCTCTTATACACTGCTCAAAAAAATTAAAGAAACACTTTTTTAATCAGAGTATAGCATCAAGTCAATGAAACTCCTGGGATATTGACCTGGTCAGTTAAGTAGCAGAAAGGGTTGTTAATCAATTTCAGCTGCTTTGGTGTTAATAATATTAAGAACAGGTGCACTAGATGGGCAACAATGAGAGGACCCCCAAAACAGGAATGGCTTTACAGGTGGAGGTCACTGAAATTTTTTTCCCTACTCAGCTTTTCTGACTGTTTTCACTAGTTTTGCATTTGGTTAGGGTCAGTGTCACTATAGGCAGCCTGAGGTGATACCTGGACCCTACAGAGGTTTTACAGGCAGTCCAACTCCTCCATGATGGCATATAAATTTGTGCCATTGCCAGAAGGTTTGCTTTGTCTCAAGAGCATGGAGGAGATTCCAGAAGACAGGCAGTTACTCTAGGAGAGCGGACAGGGCCTAAGAAGGTCCTTAACCCATCATCAGGACTGGTATCTGCTCCTTTGTGCAAGGAGGAACAGGATGAGCACTGCCACAGCCCTACAAAATGACCTCCAGCAAGCCACTTGTGTGAATGTCTCTGACCAA